CACACATAGACCCACACACATTCCCACTCACTCGCTCCCACTTTTGACATTTTTCCCCTCCTTTTGTTTCCCCCGCTCTCTTTATCCAGCGCTGCCACCACAGCCCCAACACACACACACACACAGAGAGAGAGAGAGAGAGAGAAAGAGAGACAGACAGACACGCACACACCAATGGGTGGGCGGCGGCAGCGTGCATGCCCCCACTCTATCTCTCCCTCCCACCCACCCCCCACATGCCACGCAACGCAAAGAAAAAAGGATGAAAGCTGTGCACGGCCGCCCAGCCGAATATCCCGAGCAACACTCACACAGCCCTCACAACGAGAGAGCGCATGAATGAATAGAGACGCGAAATAGCAAATAAAAGAAAAAAAAAAGGAAAAAAAAAAAACTGGTGAAAGGAAAGAGAAGGGCGACGGAAGGAAATGCAAACACAAAAAGAAATGAATCACACACACACACACACACATACCGAAAACGCATCCGCACACGAGAGAGAGAGAGAGAGGCACACCACTCGTGCCACCTGCCGTCCCTTCTGCTGTTGCTTCTCCACCGCAAGGTCCGTCGTGTGTCCTTCCGCCACCTCCCACATTTGCTTCTGTTGTCTCTCTCTCTCTCTCCCTCCAGACTCTACCGCCCTACTCGTGCATTTTCTTTTTGTTTTCCTCGCTCGCTTACTCTTGACTACATATTGTGTTTGTTTGTTTGTTTGTTTGTTTTTTGGGGGGTCATTTTGTCTTCTTGTTTGTTGTTAGCATATTACCGTCCTTTCCTCGCATCCATGTCCCTCATCTTGTTGACACGGTTTTCTCTGCCTCGTATAGTTATCGGCCTGGGTTCTCGACGAATCCGCTGCAACTGTCCCCCAGCGGCCGCATTTCGCTCGCAGACTCTAGACGTATCGCATACACTTGCGCCGCGCGCTCACACACACACACGTACACAGCACTGCCGTTTATCGCCACTCAGCACCATTAGCATTCCCTCCGGCCCACGCATCCCCATTCATCGCCCGCATGGATCTATTTCGCATGCCCCTCACTACGCCCCACATAAACAGATACACCGGCAATTCCGCCTGCGCAGATGCAAAAATCCCGCGAGAATGAAGACAATGCATGTGGCGCCAATTACACATTCGTCCAGCCGTCGTTTTCGGTGGACAATGAGTGGCTGCTGGCCACGGAGCGCTGCTCACTGGACCCACTCCCAGGCTGCGGCAGCGCCCCTGGAAGCGGCATCTCCTGACCCGCCTCCACACCCGCATCCGCCTCATTGGCGTTGTTGTTGTCGTCGTCGTCGTCGTCGTCGTTGTCGTCGTTGATGGTGCGGCCGCCCTTGTTGTTGTTACTGTTGCAATTCCTGACGGTGTTAGTGTCCGTGTTACTGCTTTCGTTGTCACTGTCAACGTTTCCACTCTTGTCGCAGCTCGCGTTCGTCGCCGTCGCCTCCCCCGCGACGGCAGCCGCAGCCGTCTTCTTCTCCTCTACACGCTCCGAGCCGGACGCCCCCGCCGCCTTCTCCAGCAGCTGCAGCTGATCCTCGCGCAGGCCACACTGGTGAGCCGCACTGAGCACGGCGGCCAACTTCCGCCGCGCATCGGCGAGTTCCGTCTGTAGCAGATGCACAACGCACTCCAGCGCCTCCCTCGTCTCTTCCTGCTCACGCCACATTGTTTCGGTGCGGGCGCTGCTGCGCTGCTGCGCTTCGCCGCTGCCACCGTCTGCCGCCTCGTCATCCCAGCCAACAAGCTCGTCCGTCGCCTCCATGATGCGCTCGGCTAAGCTCTTTGTCTTGAGCTGCTCATCGCGGCGCCGCTCTGCTGCTGCTGCTGCAGCAGCAGCAGCCTCTTCTTCGCGCTTCCGCCGTGCCTCAGCGGTGCGGAGGCGCAGCTGCGAGAGACGGAAGAAGTAACGGTCGAAGAAGACATCCTCCGGGATTTGCTGTGAGTCGGGGAGAGTGGCGGAGGGCTTCCCCGCGCTGCCGTCGTCGCTGTTCTTGATGTCAGTATTCGTGGCGTCGCTGCTCTTGTTGTTGCTGTTGCTGCTGCTGCTGCTGTCCTGCGTGGGCGGCAATGGTGCCTCCTGCCCGTTCTGCGGCTCCCCGTTCACCTGCACGAACATCGCATACTTCTTCCTCACCAGAGCGTTGCAGTCGAGCAGCCGTTGCCGGCACGTCAGAGCGGTCTCGTCACTACTGCTATTGGAGCGGTCGCCGTGGTCCTGTGCGTGCATGCTGGCGGTGCTGTACACGCTGCGGCGCGCCCACTCCTCAAACTGTGCCTTCTCGTCCGCGTCGCGCAGCTCCTCGAGGTACACCGCGTCGTTGTCCTGGAGAGCGTGAATGGTGTTCTCACTGAGTGGGCAGTCCCGCGCCAGCAGGGAGTCCTCGTCGCCGGCGATGTTCATGTCCTGTCCCGCCACCTCTGCAGCAAACCGCGACACGACGCTGGCGAGGCTCCTTGTGTCTTGCACAAGGCTGCTGGTGAAGTCGCCGAGGTCCCTTGTGATGTTCTCGAACCACATCTTGTGAATCGCTGAGCTCGCACGCCTCCACTGGGTAGGTGTGTCTGTGAAACCTAATCGATGCTTGTGTCTCCTTGTCTCTGCCCCTGCACTGACTGAATATCTTTCTTTCTGTCTTTGTATGTGTGTGTGTGTATGTGTGCGTGCCTCTCTCTCTCTCTCTCTATCTCTCTCTCTATCTCTCTCTCTAGGTAGATCACCCCACTTTCAATACTCCCTGTTGTGTGACGGAGTATATTCGTGCATATGCAATAACAATAATAATAACAGTAATAATAAAGAGGAAATATATAGTTATACCCATACATATGTGTGTGGGTGGGTGGGTGCACAGGGGAGCAGATGACGTGCTGCACAGAACATTAATGTGTCACAAATGCCACTGTATATATTTCCTTCATATCCTTATATATGTATATATCTACACATACGTATGAATGCTTGACTGCCTGCACGATGTGTTGGTGGGGGTTAAACAGGAGAGAGAAAGAGAGAGAGAGAGAAACAGCCACCTGGTTGACCGTGACACTGTGTCACCAACAGCAGCTGCAGCATCTCATACGTAGCCCTCCTTTTTTTGTTCTTGTTGTTGTCGTTCTCCACTCTGGCCAGCCCCCACTGTCCCTTTCCTCTCCTACCCGCTCGCTCTCCCTCGCCCTCTCTTACACACGCACAGAGACATACATACATGTGTATGCTCACGAAAGGTACCTGTACGCGGTGGCCCCGCTGCGCTCGAGAAATCCACGCTCGATAAGCCGCTCTATCGCCTTCTTCAGCGTCGCTGTCATGACGGGAAAGCGCAAAAGCGTTGGGATCGTCTCCACTAGTTCCTCGTGGCTCACGCAGCGCTTCTTTTTCATGAGGCGCACCACAGCGGCTTCAATGACATGCGACCGCTCCACCAGGATGCCGTCAGAGGTGCGTTTAGATTCATCATCGGCTCTACCTTCGGCCGCGCTGTCGCGGCGACGTCGGGCGGTGAAGAAAGGAATGCGGCGGCGCATCGCACCGAACGTGAATTCATCATTCAGTAGAAGTTGGTCGTCTGCTGATAGCGACATCGCACCGGCGTTACCAACAGCCTCGCTGCCGCTATCAGTTCCTCTCGTGGCAGGTTCACGCAGCAATAGACGGAACTTCGGATGACATAGGCCAAGGACGGCGCCCACCACATCTGGCAGCGATATGTCGACTGCGAGCCGCTCGCACAGTACGCCAACTGTCGGCGAGAATGGGTGCCCCTCCTGCCGTGCTGTGTCCATCATGTCCTGCAGGACGAGCAGCATAGAAGCTTGAAGGAGTGTTCCGGTCAGCTGTCGTCGCACGGCACCGAATGTGTACGTTACGACTGCCGAGGAGAGTTGGTGCTGCCACAAGAGTCGACGGTCGGTGAAGCAGTGGCGGTAGAAATCCTGCACACATTTGGCGAGTGTGCACAGCGGTGGTGGTAGACGCAACTCCAGCGGTGTCTGCCTCGGCCAATAGGCGTCTGTTAAGATGTGCAGCTTCACTTCTACAGAGCTGAGTGCGGCCATGACAGTCGCCGCCGACTCTTCCTCCCCTGCCTCTACCGCCGGTGCTTCCTCCCCTCCCTCTTCATGCTGTTGCTTTTCCTCCTCCTCATTCTCGATCTCCATCCGCGGCGGCCTCGGCTTGGGCGCGCCGGCGTTTCGCTCGTCCACCCACCCACGGTAGCGTTCGTTCAGATCACCCGATCCTTTGAGATCGCCGAGCATTCCCTCGAAACGCGACGTCTCTACACCACACATCTCTTTGAGAAACTGAATAAAGCTCTCCTCCACCTCGAGTCTTGGGGTTTGTTGGTGATGTAGCAGGCGGTACGCCAAATCCCGCCAGTAGAACGCCTCGAAAACGTCCTTGGAGGGAATAAGGGCGTAGATGGACACAATGTCCTTCAGTACCTCAGAAAGGTAGCCACTCGTAGTAGGAGTAGCAGCGGATCTCATAGCACCACCAATGGTAGTATTAGGCGACGATATCGGAACTGTTGAGTAAGACACCGCACAACTGGCACCATCAGCATCATCATCATCATCCTCAGCGGTAGTGGTAGTATAGTGGTTAGTGGTGTTACTTCTGTTGTTCATCAAGGCCAGTGTGTCGTCTGGGCCCTCACGTATCACATAGTCAAGATACCGTGCCAGTTGCTCTGCAAACTCCGCTTGGTGCTCCTGCAGCGCCTCCGTCAGAGCGGCACGCAGCTGCACGAAAAATAAAGAGTCCCCTGCGAACCCCTCATGTATAACACGCTCGCCGCAACGCTTGAGTTCAATCATCGCCTTTACAGCACTCCACTCACCGGCATCAACTGGCTTTGTAGCTACTTCACGCATCACGGCCGCACCCTTCACGGCAATGTATCGACGAAACACCACGCCACACTCCTTTGCGAGGTGCACGTAGTCACCCAATGCGAGGAGCCGCCAGGCGAGGCGCAAGCCGTCGCATGCCGCCTCCTTCGTGAGCTGCCCAAAGTCGAGCCGTAGGAAGTCAATGCCATGATCGAGCAGCATGGACCTCTGCACGGCCTCCTCCAACCCCGGCAGTGACTTGGGGTGAAGGAATGCTTCTACACGATGGCGGTTCTCCTTCAGGTAGGTGTCCACCTGCTGGAAGAATGCCCCTGCGCGCACGCCGTCACGCCACATGCGCTTCGTCATGGCCTTGTAGAATTTCGATACGACAACTAATATTTCCGGCTCCAAGCGCGTGTTGTACACCTCGGCGACGATGCAGAGGTCAGTAAAGAGGCGTAGCTCACGCCGGGTATCCCTCGCATGCTCCAAGTCGAGCTGCAGACACATAAGGAATCCGGCCTGTGCGCGTGGCAGCAGCCACGGATGCAGCAGCAGCGCCTGCCGCATGATGGGCATGGCGAGGCTCTCGATGGACGACATCGTACGCTCCCTTCTAGAGTGACAGCGGTCGAGGAATACCCATACCTCCTGTAGCTCCACAATGGCAAGGCGGTAGTGGCCCCACGCGTGTGAGAGGCGCAAAAACGTCCGATCGCCCTCGGTATCCTCTCCGCAGGTGGCTTCGAGGAGGCCGATGATGTGCGTAACGTACTCATTGAATCTCTTCTCGAGTTTCTCAAATGCCCTTGCGGCGTCGCCAAGCTCGATGAGTGTCTGCACGCTCCTGCATGTGGCGTCCGCAGAGTACCCGCGGTTATGTATTTTAAGTGGTGAGCCCCGCGAGAGTGACGGCAACGATGATGATGACGACACTGCTGCTTCTGCTGCTGATGCCGCTGGTGTTGATGATTGTCTTGTTAATGTTGGCAACAGAGGCTGCAGCAGCATGTTGGAGGTATCAAACGGTGGTAGGGCAAAGATAATGGCGTTGGTGTGCACGAAAGCGCGTGAGAGCACGGCGCTGAGCATATGCTCTGCCGTTGCCCACGCCTTCTCCAGCACTGCCTCGCATGCCCGCTGATGCAGAGCGGGGTCGGGGTCCAGCAGTAGCACCGTCACACACTTCTTGGCGTGCGTCAGTTCACTCCCCACTTCTGTGTGGGTGGGCATCATGGTCGAATCATGCAGCGTGATCGATGCCATCCGCAGGTTGGTTACCCTTTGCCTCGGCCGGATGTTGCAAAATTTTGTTTTCTTTTATATTGCTTTCTGTTTGTGTCTGTTTGTGTGTTTGTTGATCTCCCCTCCTCTGGTATTAACAGCCCTGCTGATCTGGGCACAGCAACTGCGGCAAGGCGTACGCAGCAACCAGGAAGAAGAGAGAAGGGCCACAGTCCGAGAAGAGAGAAGAGAGAAGGAGAGGAGTGCACTGCGCAATATGGGGAGCGGAGAGGGGGGG